CTGAGAGAGGCGTACGGCGCGAGGACACCCGATCCAGCAGAAACAAAACAAGGTCACGTGGCCGTGCCCATCTCTTCTAGCCGGAGGGGAAAAATGGAAGTACTGTACAGTAAACCAGTCGAACCTGTGCTCACGTGACCGTCTCTTCAGAACGCGGAAGCAAAAAAGGGGGCGTGTTCGTGAGAGCAGGGACGTGACATCGCGACAGCTAGACAAAGTCTGGAAACTCCGTTCCGATTTTCTCTTCGCGGCTCCCCCAACCCTGTCCCTGTACATTGAGGCTTGACGTGGGCGGAAACTAGATTTAAGACGAAATGGGAATAAGATAGAGGGCTGGGAGCCGTAATAGTCCAATAAATGTGCCCGAATTAAAGAACGCACGGTCTTTTCCAGGCTTACCTTGCGCTGAATCCCTTTAAACTCACTGGGGCTTAAAGGCGTGTTGGACGAAGTTCACTTTCAAGATTTTCAGCTGGCAGAGTTTGAACAGCCTCCCATCTAAATTTCAAGTTTGTGCTTTAATGATTGCAATATAAAAAGTATTTGTCTTGTTAACCTGATCCATTAGGTTGCCAAATCCAAATGACTGTAAGTATTCCTGAGATACACAGGAAGGCAAAGTCATGTTCTCTAGAAGGTTTTTTTTTGGGGGGGGGGGTCAATCATATCTACGTGTGTCAGGTGTGTGGTAGAAAATAGGGCTTGTAATATGCACTAGCTGTTACTAGGCACATGCAGTAGATAGAATGTAATTTGCCTACTACTTTAATAAATAGCACTGCTGCAATAGCCCTCTGGTTGTTAATAATAACCTTAAGAGGTTGAACCTAAATATTGATACTCAGAGAGTAATCACTAAGGTAAATATTTTAAATATTTATTCAAATCTAAGTCCCAATCAGAACTTGCATTTTTTAAATTTGATGGGATAAAGATCTCTTAGATTTAATGTAACTTGGTTAACTTGTCATCCTTAAAATTGATAAGTGACTACTCCCTTTTACTAAATCAGCCTGAAGGAGTTCCTAAGGAAACATCCTGTCTCTCATAGTGGTGAATCAGACATAATTTAAAAATACCTATATCGATGGCCATCACATGGTAGGAAACTCCATAGTTTAACTATGTGCTGTATGAAGTGCTTCCTTTTATCTGCCCTGGATCTCATACTATTCACCTTCATTGGATGACTACAGAATGGGGGGTGGGAGGGAGGGAAGCTTAAATTTAAATTTAAATTCAGTAAGATTTCAAATATATTTTTTGTTGTTTTTCCTGTCTCAAAACAATGGCAATGGCTTAGATCCAAACTGATGCTTCTTCTTAGGAATGTTCTTTCAATGGAATTCTGTTCACAGATAAAATGCTTCCACTGGTGGAAAAACATATCCTCCTTGATCCTGTAAAATTTACAGTCTATGTGTGTTTGTGTGTGTGAGTGAGTCTGTGTGGAGGAGAGAGGGAATTAATGAAAATCTACACACCTCTTCCTTCAGTGGAGGAAATCTGAGTAAGACACATTCATAGACATGTGTTAAGATCCAAACTAATAAATGTACAATAGCTATTTGCCTAATGACCAGTGATATGTAAGTATCCCCTCTGGCAACTGGAATTAAAAGTTTTGTTAATGTGAAAAAAAATTGTTCTATGCTTTGCAGATAATTAGAGTGTCCCTTGGACAAGTATATTTTAAAAACGTACTGAATGCCAAGTGAATTTGTAAGTGTCATCAAAAATAACTAAAGTTTTAGGGCGCCTTGAAGACTAGCAGTTATTATGGTATTGTTATTTATAGTTAAGTCTATTAGTATTTTTGTGAACTTGCCTGGTTCTTTTAGAATAGGATTCCTCACACAGTGGTATGCTGTACGCATTGTATTTTACAGTTCAACCCTATACATGTCTTCTCAGAAGAATGCCCTGTTGAGTCCAATGGCACTTATTCCCAGGTAAATGGGTATAAATCGTACTACTTTGGCTTAGTAAATGCTGCTGCTGCTCCTTCTTGTCTTCCCTCTGTTGTTTTATGTCTCATTCATCGCAATTGCGTACTTGAAGATTTATACCCATTTACCTGGGAATAAGTGCTATTGAACTCAGCAGGGCAGTCTTCTGAGAAGACAAGTATAGGGTTGAACTGTAAATGAACTTCACATGCCCCCATGTCATGATACATCTTAAACATACTTCTAGTCCTGCAAATTCTGCTTAAATCACAATGATAACAAATCTGTTCGCTGTATAACAAGTGGTTCTAAAATGTTTGTAGCAACTGGAAGGTAGTTATTGCCATTGCAGTAAACAAAAGACAAAATTGTATTTGAGAGTTTATGGACCCTGGTAGTGACTTCCTTTACTGATGGTTTCAGGTCACTGATACTTAGAAGAAAATGTCCAAATATTTAAAGGCTTTAATTTGATTGATGGTAAAACTGTTGATTTCCCTTTTTTTTTTAATAATAATTTTATTAAAGATTACAATTGAAAAGATAAAAACTATACAAACTAAGAAAATATAGAAGTAAAAAGAAAAATTAGAAAGTGCAGAAAAGAAAAGAAAAAAGAATAGAAAGAGAAAGAAAAAGAAAAAGAAAAAGAAAAAGAAAAAGAAAAGAAGGGGGAAAAAGGGGGAAAATATATAAAGAAGTAACTTCCCCCTTCATCACAAGTATAGACAATTTTAGTAAATTATCACCATTTCTTAAGATACAACAAATGCTCTCTTCTTTCCATATCTCATCTCTTAATTATAAACAAAATCTTAAAACCTCGTCATTCATTCCTGGTCAGCAAAAGTCCATTAAAGGTTACCACAGATAACTACATATCTATTTTAACCTTGATTAAATAAATCAACTTTATATTCCTTCCCTGTACTTTTAACAATCTTGGTTTTTAATCCCTTCAAATAATGTCCTGGAACTTGATTTCTTTTCATTTTTTCTTTATCTCTTCTCAGAAAATCCTTCAAAACTTTAACAGGCCTCTTTTGTAAATCCAGTATAGAAAAGTTATCCAAATCACTCTTCTGGTTTGTTATTTGTATGTCCCTTTTAATTATCAACACACCAACCAGTTTCATTTGTATATCCAGTATATTATCTTTTTCCATAACATTCTTGTAACTTGACATTTTTAATTCCACATTCAAATCAATTTCAGCCTTGTCTGATAGAGCGTGTTCCTCTTCTGTAACATCATTTACACACCATCTACTTATGATGACAGACAATCTTAGAATTAACTTCTGAGTCCATTGGAATCTTAGTTTTTTCTAGCTCCCTCTAGTGTCCAACCTTCAAAGTCCCATTCTATCATGTTTTCCCCCCCCTACTGAATCTAAACAACAGCAATTTCCCATGGGAAGGATTCGTATAATTAAGTTCAAAGCCTTATTTCAAATCCATCTGGACCCTTAGTCAGTTTTTAATTTTCCAAAATCAACACTCTAAATACCTTTTTGCTGTTTATTCCAAAAAGTAAAATTTTTCTAAATCCTTAAACTCATATTTGAAACTTCTTTCGGTAAGGAGAAGGAGATTCACCCAGTGAATGTGATAAAAACTTGTCATTCCAAAGAATATTTGAAAAACAGTAAGAAAAAATCTCAAAGGTAAATAAAAATTAAGGTTTGGTCAAGCTTTATGTCTATATAGGCTACATTACAGCTGTGAGCTTAGATGGAATCCCTTGACTTCCAGCCCCTTGCATAAGCCAAGTACTAAATTCCAACGAATTTGAACAAATTTCTTAAATGTCCTCTTCTTTACTCTTTCTTGAAAAAAGTTTAATTCAGATGTTTATATAAAAAATATACTGTCAACCAATAACTGCAAATGTTAATAATAATTCATTTGGGTCATCTTCCATTCACAAACAATCACCAATTCTTGGTATCTTGAAAGATTCCAAATACAGAGAATATAGCTATGAAGAACATATGCATCCCTGACCCACAACAATGTCTCTAAAACTGCGTTAATAGTCCTGTGGATTTCTACCCCAAATGTGGCAATAGTAGAACATGCCTAGACCATATAAATTAATATTCCAACTCTCACATTGCACCACCAACAGCCACCCAAGTGCAACTAGGCCTCTGAAAAAGTTAATTTGGGAATGGAACTGTATGGCACTTTTATTTCCCAAGTTTCAATAAAATGCCAATAAGAAGACTTGAGAT